TTATTTCAAGTGTATATTATCTAATTATCTTATTTTAGGAGTAAAGATACTAATTCCATTGGCAGATCATCTTATTCACCTGCTCAAATTAAGGGTAAATACACTTAATTTAAGACATTTTTTACTTATTTCTAGATGTTTTTTGCAGTGCATATAGGCGACTAAAAAGGCTCATCAAGGTCAATGTTGTTGTTTGATTTGTTTATGAAGTTAAGTTGTGGGAGTTGTTAGATTTGATGCATTTAATGACCAGGAAAGAAATGATTCCTGTTTCATAGGATTTAATCTGTGTATCGAATATCTGACCCAATCCAGGAATAAATGTCTGCTTCTCATCTCTGGATCATTCATCGGTGCATCTCTATCAGCTGCTGATTTATTTATTTGAACAACTGTCCCAATAAAACAAGGCGCTCTCACACCTTCACTCCTAATACAAACATTTTCATCTCTATAAAAAGGTCCAACATTATGAGAAAGATCCAGAACCTGAAAGGTCAGACATGAAGCAGCTCTGATTTAACTCTGTTCCTGCTTTAAAAGCCTCCACATTTTCTCCAAATTTCTGGATCCACTGATCTATTCTCTGCAGTTCCATTATTCCCATCTCCTTGCTCTTCTTCTGTCTGCTTCCCATGCAGCCTGACCAATGATGACAGCAGGAAGTTTGATGCTTCGGGCTAAGATGGGCCTGATCAGGAAATCTCCTCTAGTTTTCTGGTTCCTTCTTGGATTCTTCCACAGAGAGCAGCCTGACCTCACTCACCACAGTTCTCTTCATAGAAGAACAGGAGGAATGTGTGAGAGGGAGATGAGGACGTGATAATCCAAAGTTACAAACCTCTGAGTTTATATCAGGTTGGACATCCTCACAGACGTCCAATATTATCCTCACAATCCTGTCTGTCTTTCTGTCTGTCTGTGTTTTCCATCCTGGTCAAGTTTGAGGTGAACTAAACGCTCACATTAGGGAGGAAAGAACAGCAACCAGGAGAAAACCTTCTTCTCATCTGAAGCTGTTTCCATGTAAACTAAAGCTGCCTTTCTGGGGTATGGAGGCCATATTAGATTTTAAATTTTAGATATTTGAGCAGCAGTTAGTGCATCATGATGCTGCAGTTGTTCACAGTGGGAGCTGAGATGCCCTCTCACACTATTAGTAGATTTCTGTGTGTGTTCTGTGTCCTGGCTGGGTCACCCCTCTACTCTCTGATTAAAGGTCTCCTCTCTCCTCCATCCTGTGGGAACACAGAGGCTGCCCGTTGTTCTACAGCCGGCTGGGCTTTTCTCATGGAAACAGTTTGTGTTTTCCACAGAGCCGGACAGCGTGGCTCGGTTTCCCTGAGTTTAAACCCATGAGGCATTTTCTTCCTCCTCCTCCAGTTCTATGTTGGGGAGCTGCTTGTGTCTAAACTGGGTCTGTATTGATGTTTGGGAACTTTTCTCGCAAGACAGAACCAACACTTTCTCCGTCTGCTGCTGTCCTCAGTTTGCCTCTGTGAAATAGAGAGTTTGCAGAGCAAACAGGAAATGGCTCCAACAATATGGCTGCCATTTAAACCAATAGAGGGAAACAAAAGAATGATTTTTATCATGGATTTAAGCAAAATATGCTGATTTTTCCCAGTAAATTGGCCTTAAAATTTGAAACTAAAGGCAAAGTTGTAAGATTTATAAAATTAAATCTCTGTTTGAAAAACATCATGGAAGCAGGGCAGCAATATGCCTTAAATAGAAAATGCCGAACAAAAAAAATGGAAAACAAATGGAGTGAAGGAAGCAATCAGAGGAAGATATCAGGATCCTTCAGACATAAGGAAGAGCTGAGCTGAAGGAAACAAGGTTCCAGTGGGCAGCAGTCACTGACACTAGATGACTGGATGACGATCAACCTCCATATTGCATCCACTCTGCGTCCAATGGATGGACAATCAGAAAGAGACAGCAGGAGAGACATTACAGATCATGCAGAGGGACAGGCAGCTGGAAATAATGGACAGGTTGCAGGAATGAAAACAGACCAACAGAAAGAAGAGGAGACGGAGATCAGATATGAAGGATGAGGAGTTTGTTGGACAGAGACCCTTGGAGGTAAATCAAGATGTCAGGAATGCATCTCCTTACCGGCTCCATAAACCAAGTTGGCCTCGGCTTCAGAGGAGGATGGCGACAGCAGCTCGTCGTCATACTCGTTGGAGCTAAAGGAGCCAGAGTGGTTCCTCTTGCGAGCATCCATGACGACGTTGGCCACCATCACATGCCGCAGAGAGTCGTTCAGGTAGCGGTGCAGCAGGCTGCTCTTGTACTTGGGTGGAGACACGTAGTCCTCAGCCAGAGAGGCGGTATCAACCGCAGAACGCAGCCCTGGGTCCATCCCTATGGCCACGCCCACCATGGAGGAGCCCTCCTTCT